GGGGGGGGGGGGGGCATGGCCCCTTGGCCCCCCCCTTGGATCCGCGCCTGTTCAATGCACTGTAAGACAACATTGGAGATACAAACTTCTGCTGTTCAAATGAGAACACCCCTATTCAACTATAAATTGTTGACGTATAAAATCAAAATTCGTATGAGTAGTTTTTGAGTTATTTAACTTTGAGTTCTAAGGATAAAAGGTCCATAGTAATGAATTTATGAGATGTGAGAGATATGGAGATTTGAAAATTGTAGTCAATAATATTAATCTATTAGTATTAATAATTTGTAAAAATAGCCCAGTGTAGGTAATAAATCCTAGATCCAATTTTATATTTATTTTGTATTTATGTAAAATCAGTTTTGAGGACTATTATCCTTAATACAAAATTCTAAGAAACAACTCATTTGAATTTTGAATGTGGTACATCAAGATTTTCAAAAAAATTATCCACTAATTAATATACAGTAAAAGAGCTGGTTCTCATTACAAAAACGGAAGTTTTATCACCATAGGGCCTTCCATATGTAGTACAAAACAAATCAAGAATTTGAATAAATTCATTATTAAAGGAAAAAATGGAGTTGAGTATGCTTGGTGAATCACCCTGTATAATAGGATTAATAGGAACATGTTGTAATATTACTTTATATTTATATACCTAAATGTGTAAACTGTATATAAATATAATAAGTCTCTTGAATGTATTAGAACGAAAGTTAGTTTATATTTTCAAATTAAAACATTTAATAGGCATACTTTTCACAGTATTTTGTTCAGTATAGGTACCTATTCTAAATTTAAACCAAATTTTATATTTTAATTTTGTATTTTTTTTCTGTTTTTTTTTTGTTTAGATTATTAATATTTAATATGTTTCTATGTTAAGGGTTTGTCCTTTGTCCCGTAAAAAATGTTAATAAATAAACATAAGTGTAACCTATATATTTACAATCTTTTACAAGTATAGTTAAGACGTACCTCGTCTTTTTAAACAGAGATAAATTATGTGTAAGCGTTAATTACAATAATTGTTAATTATTATAAGTGCATATAATTATGCTTATCTCATTATTTGATGAAGGATTTTGATTGATATAAAAGAAAACGAAAATATGTAAATAATAGAAAAAAAAATGTTTTCAGACAACGAATCGTGATAAATGTTGTGATACCTACATGACGACTTACAAGTAATATTCAGCTGTTGTTAAATATTAAAAAATAATTTTTGATCAGTTGATTCATTCGTAGAATATCGATATTCATACATCATTAATTATTGATATTGTTTAACTTCCATAAACCGCATACTTCAATACAGTAGCTATAGCTGCAAAAGTGTCCTTTAGAATCTCAATTTTAACATACGTACCTATATTAGGTATTTAGGTACCTATAATATATAATCATCAAAACATTAACACTTTTTTCACATATTTGAAGAAGAAAATCTGAATTTGTCCAAATTCGAAATCTATAGAATATACAACAATATATTTTTTGAATTATAAATATTTAAAAAAAATAATTTTGTTGCTCGTTGGTATTGTTTATATAATTATATGTTAAACAGTAAACACCTATACTCTGTCCAGTGAGAGAACGCACGGGTTTTGCGCTTCCCTCCGCGTCACCCCGCCCACAAAACCGGTTCACCTATAGTAGGGTACTAGGGTGTCACGTGGGGGAACCATATTTGGTCGATGCGCGGCACGTTCTCTCGCTGGACAGAGTATAGGTAATACTAGTACGTCATAATATAGGTAAAATTTTAATATTTTATTCATGTATAGGTCTAGGTATTTATTATAATATAATACACAAAATTGTGAACTTATATTATTAAGTTTATTTTACACAATATCTTGGTATTTTTAGTGTATATTTTTCTATTGAGTTCATTAGTGTACTCACATTTTTTGATTTTTCATAGCATTAAATTCACTGCTTTTGAATCACCATCGACTGTTATAATAATATATATTAAGTATACTATTAAAATGTGATTTTGGTTCACTTCAGAACTTTCTAGACCGACATTTTTGTACAATATTTTTTCTCTTTCTCGAATTCGTGCAGGTAATCGACACAGGTACCTCCAAAAATTACAATTCTGACAAATACATGAAACGAAAACGAATAAAATTACGAAATACTCTTAATCACTCTAGCAGACTGCAATTTTCAGTATCTGCATAATATTATAAATTATACTATTTTAGTAGCTCATATTACATTTTATTATACAGAATTAAAGGTTCCTAATAATTTATCTTTTTTCGTCGTCTATTGTGTACCTATATCTACACCATATATAATCATATTGAATGTTGAAGGTACGTCACTATGATGTTTATTTTATTGCTAGGTACATTTAAATCTGCATATTGTATTGGTACCTTATAATAGTTAATTGTGTTCACGCGTATTACCGGAAACAAGTGATAAAACAGACCCACTATAATAATAGTACGCACACTCAAAGTCACCTTTTTCGACACTGCAGTGCACTACAGAGAACAGTAAATAGTAACAGTTAATAATAGAATCGTAGGTTTATTTATCAGCTTTATCACGAAATCACAGTAAATTTATGTTTTTACTTTATGAAAACATTTTTTTATTTTTTTGAAATAACTACAAAGGTGTATATTTAAAAAAAATAGTGTTTTGACGTTTGTTATTCAATTACTAAGTTTCAATTTTCTAAAAAAATGTTTTCAAAAATCTTTATATTTACCATGAATACATATAGACACACAGTGATCGTTGGCATGATAAAGCCATAAAGGTTAAACCAAACCACCTATATTATGTCAATGCACGAATATGTTCAACGTCAATCTTTAAGGACTTAATGAATAGAGAAAGACAGTTTCAACATTATTATATAACATTATATCAATAATAATAAAATAATAATATAATAATATTGACATAACGTTTAATTAATTAGTATTAATTAAAAGTAAACACTGCATTTATTAACAGACATTTTACTTAAAATATAACTATTAAATAATACAGTATAAATTATAGATACATACAAATAGTTGAACAACTCATATCTACTCCAATTACTTCTCAAAACTACAAAATTCTTTAATGAAACATACCAACCACACGTTTTCAACAAAGCTAAACTACACCATCTAATTGAATGTATTACCTAAGAAATCAATGTACAAATATAAATATATGATAGAGATTTAATGTAATATAAATTCAACGTACATATAATGTAAATAATGTATCACTAGCTACACGCTAACAGTTGGTGCCATAAAAATAATAATAAGAAAAAACAAATAGATGCATACAATTATATAAAGCAAACAGACATTAAAAATTATTTCTCCTATACTGACACACTGCTGTCTGAAAATTATCTATTACATCACTATAGTATTGTATTTATACAGTACAATATAGTTTTATAGTAAAATGTAACACAATATAACCGTATCTCCTTAAATATATTCACAACAAATATATACTACATAATATTAAGATTATTGGACCTATCTGTTGGTATTTAACATTATGAAAAGAACATTAATGCATTTAAGTTTGAATATGTATTAATGGGAAAATATTTTTTTAACAAAATGTTTGTAAAATTTCTCAAAGATTTAGTTACGACAAAACATATGTATAATTATTATGGAATAGAACAGTTATTAAATTACTACTTCGATTTCCATTGGTATACAAATAGACTTTATTTAAGTTTAAATTGAGTTAAAAATATGTACTTTATTCTAAAATATTAACTTTAACAAATTGACAATTATTACATATCTCTCACTCATGTATTAGTATTTAGTACAACAAATAAATAATTTTGGAGTAGTGCACTATATTTCACAATGATTAATCTTAACTACTGTCATATACACCAAATATTCCAGTCATCCGCCATAAATTATTAAATAGTTAAATTTAAATTATTATTATTTAATAAATTACATTTTATTATACTAGAATAGTTTATTGCTTTTTGTTCTACAGAGACCGCCATTAAGTGATCTCATTGCAGAAGAACCTACATTTGTCCACTCCTATCACTTAATAGTTATTACACATAACATAAATGTTTAGGTACTTGAACTAGTTAATAGTTTTAATATGATACAACACTACCTAAATAAATTGTATTTGTGACTAATTATTAATTGTAATTATGTAAAACAATACATCAATTGATTACTTGTTTTTCTTAATAAATTATGGTACTTTCAATGTAATATTGTTTTAACTAAATTCTTAAGCCAAATTCAATTGAAACAATTATTGGTAATGTAGCAATTTATCTCAAAGTAAAAAAAAAAAATAGTCATCACTATGGCTGAAGCAAGTTAATCGTTTTTTTTTTTTTTAATTAGTCAATAATTATTAATAAATCACAAAATAACAAAGAATGATAAAGATATTGTATTCATAACACAATGTATGCACAAAAATTATGTAGAACACTACCTACTTATTATTAATAGTAAACATTTCTTAAATACTAAAAGTTTGCTTGGTAATATTTTAAAGTAGTCTTAAAAAATAAAAATAAAACATGATCATGAAATCTTAAGCTGTGTTATGAAGAAGAGGATTTCGGAATCCACCAAGAGTCCATTACCATTTTCAAAATACCAAATGGTATTAATGAATTCTTACTAGAGTCGAAAGCTTGCAAACAATGAAGTTGCAGATTTACTGGCAATGAACGGCAGTATTTAATTGTAAAATGAGTTCGGCATGCAGTGGAGCAAACCATGGGGTAGAGGAGATGTTTATTATTCAGCTTTTCAAAAGCTACACCTAAAAATTGATAAAATTAATGAGTCATTTGATAGGAAGTGTAATTTAGTTGTATTATTTACCTAACGGAATTCTATTATGGAAAAATTCCAATGTCCCTCTGCACATATCCAATCTGACTCCTATCAATGCATCACCGAGATCATATCTCTGACCATACATTAAGCTTTCTCCACCGTGGTGTTTGACACCTATGAAGAAAAATAATTCATTATTATATCGGCAAAAAAAAAAATTAATACAACTGCTCGTCTTACCTTTATAAGAATACCCCCACGATTTCTCATCTGATCCTATTAGACTAGTATATTGATTTTCCGAGCTCTCCAAGTCAAAATCTTTTGTACCAACACCAACTATCTATGATTGCAGAAATTAGTTATTGACATAAAAAAAAAATTAAATACAAATGTTTTAATGTTTTTAAATGTTTCTATACCATGTCTGTCGCCATAGGCGAACCATCCACTTTAATCTCCCAATAGTAGATATGACCGGGCACGAACGGCATGTCACCACGAACTGCTCCAGTACCTCGGCTAGAGTTTGGATGAATTACTACCTTTAATGTGTCATCTGATATATTCACATCAGTGGTTGATTCCAAGGGATCCCATCCCCATTCCATGTCTGGCCAATACAATATTAATTATATCGTAACAGGTATATCGCTATACTACCAATATGGTCCATCTTAAGTAGTTCGATACATGGGTTGGTGTTATACTTACCGTTACCAGCAGTCAGGCAGTCGTAGTTCGTCGAATTTTGGAGGTCCTGCAACAGTTTATAACTCGACAGGGCCATATTCGTGAGCAATATAGTTTTCAATTCGAAATATTCGACGCACGATCGAAACACACTCGGTAGACTTTATTTCGTCGACGTGTCGTTAATTGTGTAAGTACGATTGGAAGCAATAATAAAAAATAGTATTAGTTTCAACTACTCCTAGTTCAGACTGTTCAGAGTTCTCAGTCACTTCGTATACCAGAATAATTTAGAGTGATAGAATTCGAATACCAGTCATCAGCTGGTGTTATTATTTTAATGTGTGCGCATGCTATAGTGTTATACCTTTATTTAGTGTTTACCCCGGACAAACACGGCCACACGGCGCCACCTGTTGTTTCTAGAACATTCTATAATTCTATGCACTCCACAGGTACTTCCGCTAGATGGCGCTGTTACCGTACGCGCGTGAATTTAAGCTTTTTCTTTCGCTTTCGATAGTGTCTGAGATCATCATCCGAACCGCATACAGCATACTATAATAGTTACCATAATAAATTACTATTATTGACTATTTTAATGAAGTCGTTAAACTACACCTAAGAAATTTATTAATCAAACAAATTATTACTCACGAACCAATTAGAAAAAAAATTGTAATAATTAATAAAATAATTAATGAGTAATGAATTAAAATACTGATATCGAAGACATCTTATGAACGTTGTGTACAACTATTTATTCGTTTTCTTATTTTAATTTGATTTCTTACAAATGCATTTAATTTTCAATGTTTTTTTTTACTGTTTTTTACCTAAAATTGAATCGAATGACCTCTTCTTTAAATTTATGAGTGTGTAATGATATGAATTCTATATTTAATTAATACAAAAAGGTATGGCTTATTGATAAGCTTTGTTATGTATTATGATAATTTTCGGTATTCGAACCATTAGTTGACAATTTTTTAAAATTACATCTGGGTATTATAATATGTAAGTTTGATAGACCTTGAGTTAATTTTTTTTATAAAATATTAAAATGTATGAAGTGAAAAGGACTAACAAATAAGTTAATTGTTGAAGGAGATTAATGTTACATAAAGTAAATATAATTTTGGCTTTACTATGATTTTGTTTGGATAAAAAATTTCAGGTTTTACACTATATTACAGAACCGATATATCTTTAATAGTTTCTCATTGTTTCATATAAAATATATGTATGTATTATTTTGCACGCAATATATATTATATATTACATTGGTGACATTTTAATTTAAAAATTAGCAATCGTAATTAGTTGGTACTCAATTCGTTTAATGTGAAGATATGATATTTTTTATATTGGACAGAGTGGTATTAAAAGAATTTATATTATGGATAGCAACATGCGAACATTAAGTTTATCGATTTGGTAGACTATATAATATTCAATGATAATTTTTTTAGTAGTGACTAGTTTGTAGGTACTTAGTATAAATATATTTTGCTTTAGTTGGTATTAAATTAAATTTGTGAGATTTGATATAAACCAAATCTAAAGCATACTATAATAACGAAACTCAACAACTTTTCTTTTCATAGATATTGATACTTCTTGTTTAAAAAATATTTTTCACTCAACATACTTAATCAATAATGCTTTTTTACCATCGTTTTTGTCTTTCTAGAAATCTATGAACTCAATGTCACCATAGTTGTATTTGTAATACATGTACCTATTGTACGTATACCAAATTGCATATGCCGGCTCTGTGGCATAAAGTAGTAAGTAAAAAAATGTACATTTAATAATATTTGACAGTTATTTCCCATCATGATAAAATACAAAAAATAAAACCTCGTATCTCGATCAACAAATTTAAAAATATTTTAGCCTACCACCGTTTTTCGCTTCTCCTTTACACAAACCAGGATCCATCTACAGGTTATAACAAAAATATACCCATGTTGTTTTGAGAGAAATTGTTGAATACCTATTCACATACCGTAGTGGTCTGATCATATTATAATATTGTATAAAGCAAATGTTTCAACACGAGTACAAGACACAGTTTTCGTATAGGTACCTACGTATAAGGATACCTTGAGATAAAATTGAGCAGTCATCGTTTATAAATAAGTAACTATATTAGACAGAGTACAGTTATAGCCTACATTGTACCTGAATAGCCTATCCACAACGCCGTGAGTATAAAATAATATATTAATATTTATTAAAAAATATTACTAAAATAATATTTTTAGTTTATTGAGACACAAGACAACTAGATCCAATATATGGTATAGTGGTACAAACAAATGGGGATAAAAAAAGGGAAAAGTGGCGTTTAAAGTATGTACTTAAAAAAATGTAACAACTGTAATAATGCAGATAAACAAATTTAAATAATTTTTTTTTAATATTAGTAAAATATATGAAAATAACTAACAAGATGACATTTTTGTATTAAATTTATTCTTAACATCTAAAATATGTATTGATCCTCGACCCTTGTATTCTGAAGAAACTATTGACAATAGAGCTATATAGAGAATTGGGTTTACAGTGTTTACACTTGACATTACATAATAATAACACCTATACATATAATTGAAATGTGACGTAAGCCTACAGGCATAGAAAATAAAAGTTCAAAAAATGTTGTCACGTACAATCGTCTACATTATTCACGATTTTGTAACGAGTTATATTGTTAATTATTAATATTAATTATACAAGTTTAAAAATCAGTTTTTTACAAAACCAGGCCTAACCTTGAACCGATGTATCGATAGTTATATAATTGACAGTATAAGTTCTTAATTTCATTTTTAAATATAGTTTTAACTTGTACCTATGCGTATTAACAGGTTTAGATACAATTATATACACCCCTGTAATAACATTCAAACCACGATTTTGACGATGTTGAAGGGAGGAATATGTTTAAAGTATATGCCCTAATCACCCCTATCCATCCCATATAGATAGCACATAAAAATAACAGTTTAATTATTCCATAATTAGACTTTTTCCATTTTTTCGAGGATTAATATATATTATTTCCGCGTTACCACATTTATAGCGATGAGACACATAAAAAAAATGTGAAACTGCAAAAGACCGAAAATAACCTTAATAAATTGTGAATACCAACTACCTAGTACTTACTAACATAATAATATCAACGAATATGCGTAAGTTATGAATATTTACTTATATATAGCCATACAGGTAAATATAAGATATTTGTATACCTACGTTAATGTTTCAGAGATATTATAAAGGTTGTGGATTATACACATGGGCGTATATAGTTAAAATGTCAAAAAGTAAAGCCAAAAACAGTAGAAAAACCTATTTCCTATCCTTCAATATTATATAGGTATAGCTCATTAATCCAACACGTAAATACTATAATATTATATTATCTAGTTGTAAATAAAAATTTCTGTGATTTTGTAAATAAACTTCTCTTGGTTACTAAACTCATACAATATTATAATATTAATAAATGTTAACTTGGTTTAACAGGATATTTTATACAATAATAATTTTTTTTTGGAAAAACCACTTTCATTTTTTTGCATAGTGATTTATCATAATAAACAATCAATTAAAAAATAAACTTTCAATAATCTAAGGGGCAAATGCCCCAGCTTGCCACATCCTTTCCTTTCACCTTTATTATAATAATTCCTTAATTCATAATGAAAATTCACGTGCTTATTTTTATTGTAAACTGTTATACTATTGTATTATATTAGGAATACCAAATAATGAATTTTTCAACCACGCCATGACAGTCTGCACAATATACAGTAAATATGTATTTTCATAATATAATATAGTTCACATATTTTACTATTCCAGCTTTTTGTATGTTATTATTTATATTTTGGTATACAAACAGTATAAGGCATATTCAGACCTTTTTAAAAATATATTCCAGCTGATTTATAGTGGCACACCTAGCTGATGTATATAATAAACTGTACTAAAAGTATTATAACATGTCATTGTGCTAAATATTATATTGTGCGCAGTCGAGAGTTGCGACAGTGGACGACTTCGGTGATTTAATGACAAATTCAATTTGTCACGATTATGATTGTTCCGTATATTTATAATGATTTCTATATGTTAAATACAGTAAGTTATAGTTGCTTACTTTTTAGTCACTGAATTAATATAAAATATATATTACGGTCATTACTTATTTAATGCTTTCGGATTTCGCAAAAAATTTATAAACTGGTAAATCACAAAGTGAAAGACAACGAATGGTAGGTAATTTCATGAATAGAAAATGGTCGGCCAATAATATATTTTATAGCCCATGACCGGTGTAGCATTGTATTATTTATTCAGCACACGAAATAAAACCCAATATGAAGTCCGGTTTTTTGATTGACTGAATAGATTTTGAGAGGATAACAATAAAGAGAAAAAATAATTACACCGATCATAATTTTAAATTGCAACAGTAAATATTTTCAAATTCGGTTTTAAAATAAATAATATTCATTCATTTAAATAATGCGTTTTTGCAATAGACACGTCACTTCGTGTTATTCGGATACTTATCAAAGTAAAATTTCAAAGTGTTTATTGTGTGTTGTTACATTGCGTTCATACAAATTAAAAGTTAGTTAATTATAGATAAAAAGTTTAAAAAAATATATATAACTAGTTACCTAATATTCTAATAGTAAAGGCAGCCTTTGTTGGGACTCAATGTTTTATGAAGTTATTTTATTTCAATAATTTTTTGTCATAATAATAAAAATAAATCTATTTATCATTATCATATACCTATTGATTAAACATGATCCATTACTTATAAGTATTATATTATTATTTCGTAATAAATTAAATAATAATAAACTAATAAAGGCTCAGCGGCGTTACGAAAACGGCTCCGAGCACAAGAAAAAAATTATATTTTCAAGTCAGAAAATTAAGTTATATCTCATGTTTTCCTGTGATTAAAATAGCAGAAATTCTTGGTCTCAAACCGAAGACTCAATAAAACAAAATTCAGTTATTTATATAAAAAGGTTCATGATACTTGATCAATTTTAGACATTGTTTATTTTAAATAAATAAGGATAAATATGACTACAATAATATTATCATAAATAACATAAATAATAATTATTATAAATATTACGGTTACCGTTGCCATGACCTTTGTAACTAATTAATAAAATTGATTAATATATCTAGTGACTAGTAACAAGTAGCTATCAATATTATTATTATTTTCATCAACAATAGATATGTCACACAAGTACGATGTCATAATACAAAAATAACGCTTGCCAAGACGGGGTCGGCACGTACACTTTCTGGATTT